AATAATTAAAAAAATTAAACCGCGAGTCTACTGTCAAACTTGCCGATCAACCGCATCGTATTTATTGTGTACGTTCGTTTGTAATTTGTGTATAGACTATTCATGTGTGCGATTGCTGCCTCCTAGCACGTAGTGCTGCGCTAGAGGTCTACACGCATTAGCATTGATTGCATGCAGTGACCGAGAGGTATTGTTTTGATTTCAGCCGAGCCGAGTGGATCTTTGACTTTGTAAAACCCTCTAAAGAAACAAAGGTAAGGGCGCATTTCAATTGTAATGAAGTATTTTTTTTCCATAAATCGATGTTTGATATTCCTTTTCCATGAAAAATAGGTATTCATAGGTAAAAAAAAAAAAAAAGCAGGCGAATCTGCTACGCATATGTGCCATTCATAATGCCCGACTGATAGTGGCTTAGTGCTACTGCTCTGCAGCGCAGCTGCATTAGCTTCATTGACCGTAACTCCAGGGAGCTCCGCCGCCAAGCCGTCGGCGGCGGCAGAGCTCATGAGTTACAGTGACCGTAATATAAATGGCAATGATTCATATTCACGGGTCTCGGCAATATTAATGAACGAATCTTGGAGCCAATGAATTGTCGACCCAATTTCAAGTGCATATAATCCATGTGCATGCAGCTGTATTACACACGACACCTCATCCTACTTACTAAACTCTAAACTAAAGTCAAACTTTATCAATGGCAATGTTGTAGAGTCTAGTATTTAACCTGTTTTACCTTCAAATCTCTACAAAAAAAAATTAATAATTTCTTCACCTTCTTTCTTATAGAATATGTAGGCAGGGCCATGAAACCTTCATGTAGCCTTACCTTCAAGTAACCTCCAGCTCCCCTTCTCAACTTCATGACTTGGCAGATGTCCTAATGCATGATACACATTGGTCGAGCATTGAAGAACGGCCGACACTGCTGGCGGCCGCTGCCGAGCCTGGCCAGGCTTACGTGATGTGACCTCGTACTTGGGTAAATATGCAAGAACATGTGTGTATTTTTCATGTGGAAATTCTTGAATACCAAATTGTTTTTTGCTATAAGTCTACCATGGTAAGACATGGCTGTCAACCCTCCCACATTTGGTTGGAGTCTCAAGCCACGGCACTGATTTTCCTGCCGTTCCGACAACGTCACGTCAAGCACTAGACTTGTAATTATGTATATTCATACATGTTAACTCTCATTATTCACTTACAATATTTTTCCTTTCTTCCATTCAGTGTTGAAGCTGTCTGGTCATTCCCTCAGAGCGATCACAGATTCTACATCCCACCATGGCTCTGTGGAGTGTTCACCAACCCTAGTGCCCAAGCAGATTTGTCTTCATGCAACTAGGTAAGATATGTACTGTTAAGTAGAGTTGGCATTTTTTCATCACCATGAAGTCATTAAAGGCAATGTTCCTTGGTTATGTCAAATCATTCTGAGAAACAACATGTACCATTTGTTTATAAATTTCTCTAACAGTGCCTGGTGACACTAGTCTTTTTCAATCCAGTGTCTAATTATCAAGATAAATGAGAGTCTTGTTTTATTTAAAATTTAAGAAGTACTCATCAGGAGCTTTAGATCTTAATATTCCTAAAGTAATTTTTTGTTCACTCTGATGAATGTGGAAACTATGATTTCGAGATCTTAATACTTTGCTTTTACTGACCTTGACCTAATTGTACACTTAAACACCCCCAATTTTTCACGAAAAGGGTATTTTTTGGTTAAATCCTCATTGTATTTTTCAACATTACAATTTGCATCTAAATTCTTCTAATATCTGCCTCTTTTTCCTTTTTAGAATTAGACAAAGAAAAATCAAATTATCTACCAAAAATTCTGTGACAGAATTATTTTTTTTTAAATTAGAAAATGTAGATTTTTTTTTCTCGCTTGCTCTTTTAAAAAAAAAAAAAAAAAAATCATGCACCATTTCCAAAACTTTAGCTCCGTTATTCCCCCTCCAATTTTTTTGGCTCATTACGCCACTGCTGAAAAACACAATGTCTTGAAGGTTATTATCATGCATGTAGACCAAATCTGACCCAATTATCATTTATGAATATCATGCCTAACTGAGCTGTGAGATCCATTTCAGGTATTTTTTGAAGTTCTTTCCATAATCTGGCTCTTGATCATATAATACTTTGGTAATGTCTGTTATAGAGTAGTGTATGTAAGTTATGCTGTCTAATGTTAGAGTTAATATATAACCATATGAATGTGAAATATAAATCATGTTAAATTCCCCTTTTTTTCTTTATTTGCTGTAATATAATTGAATTTCAATTCATTAATTGTTTTTCTATTTTATTGCAGAATGGCGCTCCCTTAAATATGTCAACATTGGCTACCAGTGTTCTTCAGTTTGGATGGTGATTTCATAGTGAAGGAGTCAGGAAGCCCGAAAGTAGTGTAAAACTAGCACTCTGGTTACAATATGGTACACACGATAGGGTTAACTTGTACTTAGTACATTAATTCCTGGTGTTCCAGAGAATAGTGCTTTCAATGCTTAGACAATTTAAAGTATATGTTTTAGAAGTTGTGAATAAGTGAAAAGTTCAGATAATTGGCAATAGACCTGTTTCCTTACATATTCAAATTTATATGCATACTTTTTTAATTACATTTGATGTTGCATAGTACAACATTACATGTATCATTGCAACATTACCTGCATATTTTGTGCCTATTTTCGACTTGGTTAGTCCATGTCATACGTGCATCTTCATCATTATTATGCAAGTTATGAACTCCATGTAGATTTTCACATTTCACTTGTTTCCAATAATGTTCATTCATGTACACATTTGAACAATTGCGTGTTATTGGCGCATGATTGAACCAAAGATGACAGTAAACATAAAGTAATGGCTTTCAAAACAGATTGTTTTATTATTTATACAAAGCTTTATATTTATTGAAGAAGTATTAGATGTACAATGAAAAGTATGTGAGACATGGATATAAGTATTTATTTGAGTCTTTCGTTTTTGTATACATGTTAAGTTAAGTATACAAGTACATTTAACACACAAATATACAGTGTTATTGCATTGAAGAAAAAAAAGAAGCATTCCTGTTTTGTATGCAAGTTACATAATGGAAGTATCTTGCCTATTGTATCTGAAGTGAAGTGGCAATTATAATATGCAGATTGAGAATTGTTTTTAAAATGAAATTGCTGTTTTGTGTTATTCATTGGTCGAGTGGTTAATGTTTTGCAGTAAATGATGAAATGATATTCAGAGATATATATATATAATCGGAGAGTGATTTACATGAAGGTGGTACATGGATCATTGTGAGAAAGGTAAATGCAAGTGTGCATGTGGTATGTGGATTTTTGTGCCAGAATTTAAAGTGAGTGTTTATAATGGCGTGGATGTGTAGACAAAGGCTCCGGGTTTCTTCTCAGTTGGTTCCAGAATTTATTTCACAAAACAAAGACTTGGGTTAATTCATTAAAAAAAAAAAAAAATTAAATCACAAAGTGATGTTAGACAATCATCGCTTGAGTCAACTTAACATTTTAAAAAAGCAAGCAATAAAGGGTTAATGCTATTGCAATAAATGGTGGCCTACAACTAGGTATCTAGCTACCTATATATTTCTTGCATGGTCATTCATTGTTGGGATATTTTTCCTTGACTTCTTCCTACCCGAAGTATTATTATAACCATTATAATGAATAATAATAATAATAATAACAATCATTAAAATATAAGCAGGGTAAAACACCTCCCTGTTATAAGTACTATTACTTTTTAATTATCATTATTACCATTATTAATCTAAGCAGCAGCATCATTATAATCATGAAGTAAATCTATTATTTTGATATATTACCCAGGGGGTTGCTATTGGGGGTGGGGGGATCTTCATTTATTTTAAATTGGATGAAGAGTGGCGAATTACGCATAACCCCCCCCCCCCCCCCCCCCCCCCTTCTGCCGGGAAATACCCTGCTATTCCCCTACAAATACTATTTATTATTATTATGATTGTTATTAATATTATTATTACTATCATTATTATTACATCTACGACTGCTACTACTTATACAACTACTACTATTTTAAAGTAGTATTGGTGGAGTACACCTCCTGCTCCTACGATGGACACAGGCTACAGCTAGGCATATATGGGCTCGCGGTGCACTGCTGGTGCAGACGATATTCACGACAATGTACGGGCAATGTACATGTTTGACGCCACGTTATTCCGTCTTATTTACAGTAAAGCTAAGATAATCAGTGTAATTTAGCTTTATTTCCGTAATATACATTTGTTATTAATGTTGGAGAAATTTGGGGGTTAATTCAAACATTGCAACAATTACAATCTATGCCACGAAATCATGTTGAAAGCCGTTTTTACCGATCAACGCCAACACAAACTAGAGTGTGTGGGACTGTGCTATTGAGCATGACGTCATCACCCGCGATGTAATGTGGGGACGACTCGGTAGATCGGTGCTCGTATTGAAGGTATGAAAATGCATTATGTTGGATCATTACCAGACACATCCGGCCGAATTGGTTTATGAAATTGATATTTCACAGAAATTTTCTTTAATAGTTATTCAATAACATATTCGAAAATCGTTATCGTCCAAATATTAAAAATGTGTAATTTTAGGCATTATTTCGGACTCTTTTTTTTTTTTTTTCATACAAAGTTTCTTGTCCTTTTGCCCCCATTTTTTCTTCGTTATTACAATAAAAAATGTAATGTATAGTTTAAATGATTATTCCTCTTTTCAAAAATGTAAAGATCTTTAAGATTCATTGTCATATGCCAAAGTTATGGCAGGTTTGCTGCGACACTTTCCCAGCGGTTTCACGTAAACAACGTGTTTATTCAATAGGAAAGCAAGGTCAAATCAAAACGAAATCGTGAGTTAATTGCACCCGAGCGCACCGCCTGAGGATGAACCTATCGTGCCCCATTGCGCCCTTCGCGCCTGAATGCGTCTAAACGCGACCTATATATTTATCGTGCCACGTACGCGTCGGGGCGCAGTCGCAACTTTGGAAAGCTCCCCTAACATGGCTGTTAATGTATCTGGTGTGATTTCTACCAGCCTAACCTGGTTTTATCTTCTTGTAATGTTCGTATCATGTTGTGTGTCCGGTAGTAATGTCTTGATATCATCAATGCATGGGGAAGGGAGTCACTTCTTCCTTGGTGCCGCCATTGGTGAAGGCCTAGTCCAACGAGGACACAACGCCACACTTCTCATCAGCAGGGCATATGAACGTCGTACCAGGGAACCAATGTACTCCAATCTATCCTTCGAAGTGTTTGACCATCACAAGAGGTCCCTTCAAGAGATCCGAGATTTCTGGAAGAACTTCGGTGTTCTTTCGCTTGGGAAAGGTGATGATGGTCTCATTAAGACTGTGTACTACTTGATCGAATCGATGGCAGATGACTGCGAGGATCTCCTTCTCGATATCGAGCTCATGAAGCGCCTGGAGGACGTCGACGCTATCGTTGTCGATATGACTTGGATATGTGGAATAATGATCAGAGCCGCGCTGGAACGCAACCTGAACTACTCGAAGAAGATAGCCCTGGTGACTCTGACACCTTTAACACCTCATCTTATGGCGTTGTTTTCGTACGGTTCCTCGTACAATCCAGCCTACCAACCAGAACTCAACACGGGCTTTACCAACAGGATGAGTTTCTTAGAGAGGACAGCCAATCTCCTGCAGTCTGTTGTATACGCGGTGCTTGGTGCTACTCTGATACCGCTCTACATGCGCGTAGGGGAGAACACAGGACTTGAAGATGTCATGAGCATAAAGATGTCTCTCATGAACGATCTTGCCGACTTACACCTTCAAAACTTTGATTTCGCCATCGAGTTCCCGTTCCCGATATCACCAAATGTGATTCCAGTCGGAGGTGGGCTGACAGCATGGCCACCTACACAACTTGACCAGGTGAGCAACTTTATAATTACTGGTCTATATTCCTTCTACGTACTAGACGATTTTTGTTTGTTTTAATCTATTGTTAAAGATGAAGTTGAGTTCTGGTCATGCGATTGCATTGTGAAAGAAACGGTGTGGAACCGACCAGAAAAGGTTGATCATCTAGCATATAAGTATTTGTGTGTATTGCAAGGTTCTGGAATCATCAAAATGATAAGAAATTTGGCCAAGTCTTGGTAAAGTTACAAACACTGTACACAGAAAGATGTATATGGGACTACACGAACACGTGGCGTAAAAAGCCGGCCCCCGATTTTTACGATGTTACATGCATATTTAGAATATGAAGGCATTTGAAGAGCCATGCTTTTCAGGGAACATGTCTTAATTATCTGATGTTCTTCCACACTTGCATAATAAGAATGAGTAACGCTCACAAATTATTTTTCACCTCTTCCCAGAACTCAACCTTCTCTTTAAATCCAGTAATGTCTTCGCCATTATTTAAATGTCTAGGACCTTTCACGCAGTAAGAGCAATTTTGTTGGGCTTGTTTTGTTGTTATTATTTTGTTTGCTTGATGAAAAATTGATTGGTCAACAAACTTGTCAGCATCTTTTTTTTTTATATAATAAACGATTTGCGCAGGTCCCGTGGCAGTTGCAAATTTACAGATAGGGGGGGGGGGGGGGTGCCCCGCCCCCCACCCACTCAGTGTTATTTAGGGTACGCTTATGCTCGTTCCCTCTTTTTGAAAGCACCCCCTATCTGAGGATTGCCAACATTTCCGAACCCCCCTTTCGCGGGCTTTTCGCGGGCTTTTCCTGCCTTGGAGACCACCCTAAATACGTAAAAATGCTCAATGTACCCCCTAAATTTATTTATTTATTTATTTATTTATTCATTTATTTTGTTTTATTTACCCAGGGTAACCCCACCAGTGAGTAAAACACTGTTATACTCGGGGGCCCTGCAATAGTAGAACACAAATTACAAACATGTAAATGAATACAAAACAACAAATATTACTATGACATCAGACCTGCACGAAATATTAAACTTTTAAGAAAAAAAGAAGAAAAAAAAAAACTATAAGGCTCTCACAATGCCTCCGCTTGCCGGAACCAACTGGACAGCAGGGTCTGAGGCACGTACTACCTCCAAACACTACTCTCCCTCGCCACGCCATATTGAATTTTTATTTTTTGTTTGTTTGTTGATGTGTTTGTGTTCATACCAAACCATCTACTGATTTCTAATTCTCCAATATGAGGTAGCAAAGGACTGACTAGAAACAGCGCCCCGAATACCGCTATCCAGCCGATTCCAGAGAACGGAAGCACAACGGGAAAAGGCTTTTTTACCAGCCTGTGTGCGGACAAGTGGCACCACAACACCATTGTGCACTGCATTTCTTGTCCGGTGTGAATGATACTTCCTGAACGTATAAAAAGTTCAATGAGGTAAACTGGTGTTTCCCCGCGGAGTACACTATGCACTGTTTTGCATTTATGGAATTGCCACCTTTCTTCAATTGAAACCCATTTTAATTTGTTATATGCCTGTTCAATGGGAGTAGAATAATTGACTTTTAAGATCAACCGGGCCATTTTCCTGTGTTGTCTTATTAAACCGTCTTTCAAATATTGTGCACATGTGGACCATGAATTGCTACAGTAGTCAAAGTAAGGTAATATAAGTGAGTTAGCTAAGACTTTAGAGCTGTCAACGTGAGGTATTTTCGGAGTCTACCAAAGAGTGCAAGTCGGGAAGCAATCTTTTTCATTGTTTCTTCAATATGTTTTTGCCAGGTTAATGTCTCATCCATCCAAACTCCAAGATATTTATAGGTGTTTACTCTTTCTAGCTCATGGTTGTCAACAGCCAGATTTATATCACCACAAAAACCATATATTGAGTTTTTGATAAATTCAACCTAAGATGATTTTGTGTCAGCCATTTATTGACTATCTCAAGCTCCTTATTCAGTACAGATTCAATGTCTTTAATTATCTTTCCCACTGTAGTACAATATTGTATCGTCGGCGTACATCATAATGTGGCACTTTTCAACAATCCCTGGTAAAGCATTTACCATTACCGAAAAAAGAAGGGGCCTGATGATCGAGCCTTGCGGAACGCCAGTTCTGACATTAGTAATGTCAGACAATTCGGAATAATTTCTCAGGAGTTCAAAGAGATGAGAGAAAAAAATGAGAGAAAAAAAAAAGAAAAACACTCCCTTTTTAAAGAAATCTCCGGGTGAAAAGTCAAATACACCCCTTTTTTTTTTTACAATTCTCGGGCCGGACTTTGTCGCACGAAAGGTACCCCTTTACCGGACATTTTGGTAACACGCATGCGGTCATTCCGACCCCGGAGTGGGGGCCGGGGGGGGGGGGTGGGGGCGTGCATGACAAGGTTATACTAAAATTGGCTGAGGGTGCTTTTTTTCTCGAAAGTCTTAGCGTTTTTATTTCATATCCTAATTGATACGTGACCAATGTTTACGTCATCAGGAACTGGAAGATTTCATGGAGAGTTCAGGCGACCATGGTGTCATTCTCTTCACCCTTGGCACGTACTTCGGTGAGATAACGATCATTCAACCGGGATTTGCTGAGCAGTTTGCCAAAGCTTTCCGAAGATTGCCGCAGAAGGTGATCTGGCAGATGAAGGATCCACTCGGCGAAATCGACGTTTCTCCAAACGTGAAGGTCAAGCCCTGGGTACCTCAGAATGATCTACTGGGTGAGTTTCGGGAATATAATACCTTGTGGTGCATGTACGTGGTGGTGGTGTTGGTGGGAAGTGGGGGGGGGGGTGGGGGGCAATGAGCCGAAGTCATACGATATTGCATATCAAAGTAAAAAAAAACAACAACACATTTCAGTGCTTCAAATGAGGCAGAATAATCGGTATGTTGTAGGTTTTGAGTCAGTTTGGCTGTGTGACCAGATTAAAAGTGAAAAGCCCCTGGTGTGAGCGAGGTGTAGGCAGTGTACACCATTCAAATCGACGATATACGGACTCGAGACCAAAAACAAATCACATTACACAGAGTTCGCGTCGGTTGGTGGTGCGTATTAACCGTCAGTCCCTTTTAAAGACCTCTTAATTATTGTTTTAAAAAAAGATGACGTCGAAATATATATAGTGATATTGCACTTTCCAATCCAATATCGAAAGATTGTTTGGAAATACCATCTGAAAGTTAGCTTAGATCAATACATTCCAAAAACAAGCACAAAACAAACTATTCTATATCCAATATCATACATCTATCTTATTTTTTCCGTATCTTATATAGTTATCCATCTAAACAAAATATTTCTATCCCTTCTACTCAAAGGTCATCCAAAGACCCGAGTATTTCTTTATCAGGGAGGCAACAACGGGTTCCAGGAAGCCTGCTATCACGGTGTACCCATAGTCGTCGTCCCGCTCCACGCGGACCAGTTCGACGTCGCCGCCAGGGTCGTAGCTCGAGGGATGGGCAAGAAGATCGACAAGATGGCTGCCAGTGCTGATGTTATCTATGATACCTTACAGGACGTCATCAGTGATCCAAAGTGAGTTTGTAGAGCAGAAAGTGGGAGTTATGTCGAGGTGTCGTATAGTCGAGTGGTTAATTAAGCACTTGACTGGAAATGCAAAATCAAAAGAAAGAAAGAACAAATTTTAACTAATAACATTTTCCTCTTCATACAGGTACACTGCAGTGGCTAAAGAGGTTTCTACCATCATCAGAGAAAGGCCCATGCAGGCACGAGAACGCGCAGCATTCTGGATTGAACACGTGATCAAATATGGCGGACAGTATCTCAAAACATCTGCAAGGGATCTTTCCCTCATTGAGTTTTTCATGATCGACGTCCTCGCATTTCTTCTACTGCTTGCCACAGCGTTTCTTCTTATAGTTATATTTGGGGTTCGTTTATGTTGTCGAATGGTTTGTGGAAAGAGGAAAGCAAAATTAGACTGAGATCATATAGGGTGCCTCTAGATGGAGGGCGTGTTGCGGGGTATGCATGCCCTCCCCCCCCCCCCCCCATAATGGACGTACGAGGTGGGATGAGGGCCTGCTGATCGTAAGCTCCTCAAGATTGGGTAATTAAAAACACCCTTGCAATCATATTTCGGCACCAGTTGCCTCATATCAATGGCACCTATAGGTAGTCTATTAGAATATGTTAAAATCTCCTTTATAATTAGTACATTGTTATACAAAAAATGAATCTACAATACAATAAGTGTCAATTTCGCTCACTTCCATACTCACAAATTTAATAAAAAGGGGAGAGGGGGATCGAATATTCGACATTGTGACACCCCTCCCCTTGTATATTTTCTGTTGGTAAATCTTCAAGAGAAAAAAAATGTATTTAGCATTATATCGATAAATCCTCTAATAATTTGATTATTAATTTATTTATCCTTGCATGTGGAAGATAAAATGATCCGATGTGTTTCAAATTTTAGATTCTGATATAGTGTTGTTGTTGGTGCTTTTTTTTAATTTGTCCGAAAATTCAGGTTTAGGTTGATGGTCTTTGCCACCTTTCTGGAAATAATGGCTTTTCTGTATCCTGAATCGTATAATGAAGCCATTGAAAATAAAGCCACATAATGTAAGCTTTTTTATGCATCGGTCCAAAAATGCATAATATGTTAGAGTTGAAGATCAGAGCGATTGTAACTATGGCAAAGACGAAGACTATATAGAAGTATTCGAAAATATGAACAGGGGGGGGGGGGGCGGAGCCGTTCATTGTGTGTTTTGTGAGATGGGAGTCGCAATTTATCACAGTAGCCCTTTGCCATCAGTATATAGAAATTTGTTTAGGGCTAATAATTAAATTCCTACATGTCTATGCACAATTACCAAGCGATTCAATATTTCTTTTCCCAAATAAACATGAATTTCTAAAGGAAATAACTTTTCTACTTATGCTGCTGGATTCGAAGATTTTTCAGCAACTCCCAGGTAAAATTCATAGGCCAAATTGTTGATATCATTAACAGTTATTACGACCGATGTTATTCGACATTTCAATAGCCTATTCTGCAAGGCATGATTAAAATATTACCATATAGTCTAGAGTGTTTTTGTTGTAAATCAAATTAAGAAATATGCTATATATACAGGTAGATGCAAATGTTACTCAAAATCCATTATATAAATCACACTCAGGATACAGCCAACTGACGAGAATTGCTTCAATCTATATTTTACATGTATCATTAATATATGGTTTTACAATGGCTATGGTGATGAGTTGTCTAGGTAACATGTTGATGTGTTTGTTAAAATGTATTACCATGGTGCACCTTCTTGGTTACAAACAAAAATATGTGTATGTATTAACGTAAGTTCGTGCCTTTACATATCACAGTAGAAATCAGTGTTTTATATTTGATGCAGAATAATATTAATATTTGGAGATTAGAAACACAAACAGTTTCCATAACCGTTCAAGTGTTTCAAGCAAAAGTTAAGCAAACTTTCTCCTGGATGTAAATTCACACTAGCGTATGGCACTAGCGAGCTCTCCGATCTAGGCTAGACTCTTCGCGAGCGGTTTCATTGGAATTTAAGCGGTTTCATTGGAATTAATCGAGAAATTCCCCTCGCTAGCGTATAAATAAAAAATACGCCTGCACGGAACAAATCGCCTATGACACCGGCCGGCCATACGTAAATAGGGACTTTTAGATTCGCACGAAGACAATGGGGATGGCTACGATCGACGTCCTTTTAATGCACTGCCTTGAATGGACGTCACACGTATCAGTCCACGCAAATCTAAAAGTCCCTATTGGCAGTGACGGTAACGACGGATTAGGAGGAAGGGGTGCATACGTGAACTACAAGCGTATTGGGATGATCATACTATCATTTTAGAGTGTGCAATCTGGGTCGGAATCCAGCATAATATATTTATAAAAAAGAGGTTCACATAAAAGCACTCATGATAAAGCCGCGCACGGCCCCTACAACATCATTTTGGATTTTCAGATGATGGGCCGGGTGGCAGGGGTAGGGGGCAAAGTTCGCCCCACTCTTAAAGTACCCCCCCCCCCAAAGGGCCACTTTTACTTTGTAAACAAGTGCCCTTCCCCTTTTAAACTCGGATAAGCGCACATTTCATCAACACATGTGCCCCCTTTCCTATCTGATAAAGGCTATTTAGAAAAATGAGGCCCTTAATAAATAAAAAGTGTCCCTTTTCATCTCTGGTAAATGACCATTTTCATATAATTATGAGAAGTTAATTCTTGTCACTTCAGTGCGCTCTTCACCTCCGATAATTGCCCCTATACAAATCTGAGATGCTCGTTTTACTTTGAAAATTACCCCTTCCCCTCCTGATAAGTACTCTTTTCATCTATGATGGGTGCCCATTTTCACCTTTGCTAACTGCCCTTTTATTTAGAATCGTGCCCCTTTTCCTTTCTAATAAGGGACCCATCCCCTTTTCATAAATGCCCCTTTTCACCTCTGATAAATCAATTTCTGATGGATGCCCCTTTTCCGTCAACAAATGCCCATTTCCCATACCCATAAGTGCCCTATCTCATTTCTGGTGAGTGCCTCCTTTCAGGTGTAAGAAGTGCCCCGTTTGAACCTTTGATAATTACTCTTTGTACCTTGACACATGCTCCTTTTCTTTTCTAATAAGTGTCTTTATCCCTTTCGCACTTAGGCACAGGGGGGGGGGCACGTGCCCCTAACCTGCTCATCATTAGTCTTGCACCTAATTTAAAGCGACTAAGAGTAATTTCCCCTAAAGGTCGCTCGCTCGCTCGCATTTATAGATGATATGTCACTTTAAAACAAATGTTTTTTCAGTCTTCCGTGATGCTTATAACCCCATCATGATTTGGTTTTTTCCTCTTTATAAGATGTAATTTTTCACTCTGCGACCTCACAGATCTTACATTTTTTCTCGCTCGCTTTGCTCGCTCGCAAATGAATATTCAGACAATCACACCCAGCCGAAAGTGTGATGCTTAAGCAATATCTTGTATGATATATAAAGAAAAACAAATATTGAAATCGTCCCTGATAATGGAATCACAATGAAAGAATATATACCAATGTCTAAACAAACGTATGTTTTTGCTTTAAGATTTCGCTTTGTAGGTGCCCTTTTTTGTTGGTGCTTTCCACTTTGGAAATAGCTCCGCCGCCCCTGCTTACGCATTAGCGCCAGCGTTAATTTCACGCTTGCGCGCACAGGGAGTGTCTGTGTGTGTGTGGGGGGGGGGGGGGGGGAGGATTCCTCTCTAGCTCTGAAGCTGATTTTTTTTGTTTTACCTGGATTCGTGCGATTCGGTTAATACTTTTAGAGGGAGTCTGAGGGGTGATGTGCCCCCCTCTGAAGCTGACATTTTTTGGATTTTTGAAACAGGATTCGTGCGTTTTGGTTAATACCTTTTGGGGGAGTCTGATTTGATTTCAAAACACCTGCATTTAATGCGGGATGGGGTTGCAGCCTCTCTTTCCCCGAAAATTTAAAAATTACCAATATGCATTTGTTATATCTTATCTCTTATATTTTGGTGACAATTAACACTTTTCACAACATACATAAGCTCAAATTTCCGCTCACTCGCCAAATTATTAATCCAGGAAATAGATATTGGGGCAAGAGGCTTCAGCCCCCACTGAGGGAAATGTCAAAAACATTGCGCGCGAGCATAACTTGAAAACGGGGAATGTTGATATCGGACAAGAGATGTGACGTGAGCATGTCCCCTTTCCAAAATAATTGTGTCCGCTTGTAGGTACCAGTACACTATTAAAGTACAGTGCTTCTAATATGACCTTGTCAGTATTGGTAAGTTTAAATAACGGTCTGCGCGAATTTCGAATTTCCGGCCCCCCTATTGGAAAATCCTGGATCCGTGCCTGCTTTCCCCGTGAAATGCATAAGAAATTCGTTTTCGAGGATTGGCAATGAAAATAGATTAAACAGTAGAAACAGACCCTAAATAAAGAAATAAACAGCTTGGTCGATTTGTTTTTAAGCATTATCTTCAAAACCCCGGACAGCTTAAACTGTATATCCTTAAACATAACGTCTATAATCACTCTGAGATTGAAGATAATACCAATACGAATTGCATTATGCAACGTCTATTATTCTTATTCTTCTTTTACATTTCGAAGTGCAAATCTAAATGGTCCCTAATGTCCCCACTTAAGCATACTTAGAATCTGGTCACACTTCGAATAGTTCGTGGCCTATAGAATTTTGTTTCTGTTGATGCTACTTTTTAGGTGATTTCAATCTAAACTTACTGGATCTACACTCTGACCAACATGTCAACTCTTTTTTGGAAATGGTTTTTTCTCACTCTTATGCCCCTCTCATAACAAAGGCAACAAGAATAGTTCAGTCAAGTTCAACTCTTATTGACAATATTTTTGTCAATGACACAAGTCTAGTGTTAAAAAGCGGTATTTTACTGGCAGACATTTCAGACCACCTTCCAATTTTGTTTTCAATCGGTCAAAACGTAGTGATTGGCTTAAGCGCGATCAATGCAATAAAACTTATACAAGAGACATGTCTCGCTCAAACTTTGAAAAATTTAGGGTTGCCCTGACTGAACACCCTTGGGAATATGTGATGCATGAAGAGTCATGTGACAGAGCTTATGAAGTATTTCTCAGTGAATTTAATATCATACAGAATTCTTGTTTTCCTTTGAAAGAAAGGCGTTGCCGAAAAAGGGAATCTAAACCATGGATTACAATAGCAATATTGAAATCATGTAAGAAAAAGATAGAGCTATACAAAACGTATTTGAAGAACCCTTCTGCATACAGGAAAAAAGTATACCGACAGTATCGAAATACTTTAACTTCAATTATTCGAAGGTCAAAAGAATCTTACTATGCAAAGCAGTTTGAAGAAAGTAATTGTAGTAAACGAACTTGGAATATTATTAACAATATGTTGAATAGGGGAATCAAAAGAAAGAACCAAGACTGTTTTCGTGATGAAAATAATAAGAAACTTACAGATCCTGTTGATATTGCAAACAAATTCAATGAATATTTCATAGGCATTGGGACAATGTTCACAGATACAAGTAATATTGACATGCTGAAGTGTAGATCTTACATGAATGGTCAATATCAACAGTCAATGTTTCTGAAACCAATAGAAGGTCATGAAATTATAGATATAGTGAAGGCACTGAAAATAGGTAAAAGTCCTGGAGGGTGTTTCACAAAGATCCTAAGTTGAACTTATCTCTAAGTTGGACTTAACAATTATGGAAAGCCATTAGCATCCTTGAAAATATTTTGTAAAAGTTATTTTAAAGGCATAAATGTTGATTCAAATCATTCATAGTTCCTACTACCCTGGGAGATTTCATGTTCTTGGCGTGGAATTTATGAAAAGTCTAAATTACTTGAATTTTTGCTTTTGAATATATTTCATTATGAGGCTACAAATGGCTCTCCATAATATTTAAGTCCAACTTAGAGTTAAGTTCGACTTAGAATCTTTGTGAAACACCCCCCTGGTCATGATAATATAACTGTTTCTGTCATTAAAGAATCAATCTATTTCATTCTTGCTCCACTGGTACATATTTTTAACCTTTCCCTCTCCACTGGTAAATTCCCTCACAGTATGAAGCTGGCGAGGGTGACTCCGATCTATAAGAAAGGCTCCCTCGAGCAGTTTTGTAATTATAGACCGGTGTCACTCTTGCCCGTTTTCTCCAAAATCTTGGAAAAATTATTTTACTCTCGATTATTGTCTTACATTGAGAAACGAGAGATTTTGTCGAATTTTCAATATGGCTTCAGATCTGGTCATTCAACTATATTGGCCTTGACTTATTTTTTGGACCAAATACTTACTTCCCTTGATGATAGCAAACATTCACTCTGTTTGTCATTGGATATCTCAAAAGCTTTTGATTCCATTAATCATCAAGCCTTATTATCCAAATTGGAGTACTATGGTGTGAGAGGTTTGCCATTACAGTGGATAAAGGATTATTTGAAGGAAAGAAAACAATATGTTGTTTATGATAATGCAACTTCATTTGAAAAAGAAGTTATATGCGGAG